AGTAACTTCCCAATTTGTACCAGTATAACCAAAATTCGGATCCGATTTGTGGCCTTCGATAATCTTCGCATTATTTCACCTATTACGAAATAACCATTTTAGTATATCATTAAGTTCGATCAAGCTAGGTCCTTTTGATACTGCTTTGCCGTCGGTGACGTTTTGACGTCACCTAGCATAAGGTGTTTTGGCTTGCATTCTTACTCTGAATTGTCCCTCCTCATCAATTTCGGGTTTTTACGCTCATAGTGGCGCGCGTGACCAAATAAGAAAACGTCCACTTCCAACCTTACTTAAACACTTCTTACAGCCAATTGAAGCTGCACCCTTCCTACAAAACGGCTGCAAATAAATATCTGTGCTGATGTTTTAATGTTGAAGGCAATTTTCGAACGCATTTCATTCACAGGTTTTTCTTGAAGACGCGGTCAAAATGAGCTCACGCACCCATTCTTTCGTGTATTCAGCCATTATATATTGAGTAAATCCAAAAGAAGATTATTTAAGTACGAATGCATCGGTTGACTACTCAGAATCTTGTCACTCTTTCCCAGATCATTCACGAGCGCTCCCAGATCCGCCATTTGATGTTTGGTATCGAACCGATTATACAGATGGTCTCGCAAGTTTTCCTTTGTACGCAACTGGGCCTTATGTAGTTTAAAATGCAGGCATTATAACCTTTGCCCAGTACTAGACATATTCGATTTGCCTTCTTATATGTCAAAAAGCTTAAACCTTATCTGTGTTCCTATCTATTTCACTAAAATTATTTTGGCAAGCGTATCAAATAGCGAACGATGGGTCAGTAGCTTTTGCTACACTTGCGTCTTGTACATATAAATTTCGTTTTAGTATCAAGCTCGCTTCTACAACCTTCTTAGCCGAACGCAATGAAATCCCGTAAACTATCTTCTAATGTTTTTATGATTGCGTGCTTGTAATACATTTAATCCTCTCCATTATTGTGAATGGGGGTTCAACACGATCATATCTCAACAAACTTTTGCCTGGTCTTTTCCGGCACTGAGTAAAATGAGTATAAAACTTTTCGTACACTTGCTCTTTGATATAGATGACTCGTTGTCTACATCGTATAACTCTAGCGTGGTTATCACGTGAAACAACTTCGAAAGCAGAAAGATGTTTTTTGTTCACTACAATGTTAACTATAGACGGATATTCACGTGCGCTCCTCTAATCGAGGATTACTTCCTGTATAATTCGCCAATCCGGCCAACTTGACAAGTCATAGACCGACATAATAAATTAAATAGTAACATTGGTTGGGCCCTTCTACTCGACGACTCATTTAGCCTGACTTGTCAAACTACCTGAGGATTCGAATTCGATGGATCTACCAACTCGACGACTCATACAACTCGACGAGCTATACTCCCCGACGAGTCGAAATCGATAATCCTACCGACTAGGAAAGTCATAATACACAACAAGTCGAACCTTTTGCGCTGCAAACTACTAATCGCATCGAACTCGACGAATTGAGTTTATCGGGTGTGGGAAGATTTTTATAATGTTGCCTAGACGTTTGTATAAGAATAATAGGTTGAGAGTAGAAGCCACACATGTAACTTCTACTGATGAAGAATAATCAAAAATCGATACAGAAAAGATTTCTCAATGTTCAGGACGCGCGTAAACTTATTTGTGCTGTCCGTGTGTAGTCAATTGTATGCCTGATGTCGCACCTCGAGAAGCTAGCTTCTAGAAATTGAGATTAATAGCGCCAATACAGTACGTCGGTACGTGGTGTTCAATCGGTAGCGGCGGCCTTTTTTCTTGTCATTACTGAAACGGGTGATCCAACAGACGGCATTGTATGAAGTCTTGACGAGCGGCGATACGGATAGCCTACTAGCAGGGACCGTTGAAGACTTGCCTGGAGATAAGCCGGTGGTTCTCAGCCGGTAACACCGTAAATTTTCTAGTCGGGTGTATACAGCTTTCGGTGGCCTATAAAAACGCTTAAGTCTGCCATTCTTTTGTGAAGTCACACGAGGCAAAAGTCTAAAATTTGCTGAGCTCAGGCAGTTTTCTCGAGGATTTAGTTGCGGAGTATCGATCACGCAATAGCTCCAGCTGAACCATATGAACAGAACTAGTAAAAACTATTTTTTTGTCCCCATTAAATATTCTTACTTGGCGATATTATTGTGATGATGCGTTCTAAGTGTATCAATAAACTTTGACCAATTGTTATGCTAAACTATGCCCTGCCTTTGCACAACATATCGTTATAGCCTAAAGTGGTTGGTTGATATAATTAGGCGCTAGATAAATCTCTTTATCACCGTCACATTTAACTTCAAGTGCATTAACAAACTTGAATTAGAGGGAAATTGGGGGCAATAGTCACAGTGTCCTCGACTTAAATAAACAATATTCCTCCTAAATATTTTGCTCGACAAAGCGATCGACGTACGAACATCAAAATCAATCTGCAATTGCTATTTTATGCTACAATTACAATACTCCATCAGCATTGTGCGCTCTATCCGTATACGTTTCACAATGCGTATCTGCAACAATTTTTGTGACGACCTCCTACATCATTAAATGTTCCGCTTACCCTTCCTTTGTGGAATTGTAAGTTTTAGCTTGTGTCAATGTCTTCTTATGCCATCGTGAGTATTATGTAGCAAGCTATCAGTGTAAGCGACAATGTGACACTGTAGTGCTTTTTACTGTCAATGTAAGGCACCTCTATGATGGAAGTGCATGCTATGCAGAGTTGGATCATTCGATTTGAATTAAGTCAAAAAAATATTGCGGCCGTATAATCGAATGATAAACATTACCTTCAATTGAAGGTTGTTGGAGCAACGCCTTACACGCCTCTTGCAAAATGATTGTCGACGAAAGAAGCCGCAAGGGTTCGTATCTGTCTCAATCAGAAAGTAAATACCCACATATTGGTCGAAATATTACAATATAGATATGTACAGGTATGTGCATATTACGATAATAGTCAAATGCATCAGTGGCGCTTAAAAACATGTTACTAATCTACGGATTGTTTTCTTATAATATTCATATTTTACTTTTTGTCGCTCATAAGGGTTTTACAAGTTTTAGGGAATGCCGAAGCGAACGTTTTCGCAATTAGGTCCATGCAACATTCTTTTTTACGGATATAATTGTATGCCTTGGCAGATTAAGGCCAAGCAAGATTACTCATAGCAACCCGTTTCGGGTTCGTCATCTCATCATCAAGCTGGCCCCTTTTCATCTGTTATGAAAAAGATTTCATCGAGTATCTGCAAAGAAAGCAAAACTAATTTGTTCGCACGTCTAGGTATGACTAAACAAGCTATTTAGTTCAAAATACTCGTTACAAAGGTATAATCTCGACGACGTCTCTTGCCCGTCATGATCAGTCGTGGCATTTTATATTCTAAACTCTGCGATATTGCTGACTGTAACGAGGCACGGGTGGTTACGCACTGTGTACAGTGCGTAGTAAGCTCTCATAGACTGCAGCGAGAACCAAGGCACTTCTCAAAGATGTACACTGTGCCTTATAAAGAAAGGATGTTAGACTTAGCGACTACAATTAGTGATTATAAGGGGAAACTGTATATATAAGTTTTAATTTGTCTTGTCTTGTGAGTCCTGTCTTAACCATTTTTATAACAAATTATGTATGGTGCATCTACTCAACTTCCTTTCGCGCGTCTAGCAGCGATTTATAGGCTGATGTAATGTCCAATATCAACGAATAAAAAACCCCTTGAGCCACCGCAACAATATCGCCGAATTTAGTGATATTGTGATAAGAATACTAAACAGAATATGATCCCTTATCATTATTGTTGTAAAAAATACCCTATAACGGGCTTCCCCTGTAACACTGTTTAAAATACCTCAACTGTAAGAAGAATGTATTCTGTGAGTAATATCTTCTTTATTTGGTAATTGTCATGATTATCGCATTTTTATTATTCTATCGTTGCACCTGATTATATAGCAAACTAATTTGTAATGATACAACCAAAGATTTTACCGTTAAAATACCTTACGATTGCAATTTAATACTAAATGTTGTTTTGTAGTTTTTAGCTGAGTGGAAAACAGTTAAAAACTAATTATCCTTCGTAATAATATACATAACGAAGCATTTTTAATTTGTAATTCTTTTTAGCTTGAAACCATCAGTATCCGGGTCGATTGACATCTTTATTTATAGTGTGTGATACAGAATGACATAATAATAATGTTCAGATACAGAAAAAGCCCTTCATTATTTCATAACACTAATTTTGCTAGCTATGATTTTGCCGATTGAAGTATATTCCTAAAAACTTGAAGGAATCAATAAGAAATAATCAAGCTAAGAATCGTGAAGCTCCCCGTGTTAAATGCAGCAATATAATAATATGCTACGGAATTCAGTAATATATGCTTGAAAGGCCAGACATCCTACTAATGATCGGATATTATCTACTCATGCTACTGTAGTCACATCAATTATAAGTTGCAGTTTCATCATATACGTTCATTACTAGCATTTGTCATTAATGGGTGGGTGCTGGATGGCGATATGTACAGTCAAAAGTGACGAGAAAGAGGCGATACATCCCGTTGAAGTTGCTTATCGTCGAAAAACGTCGCAACTGTGCTTGCATAGCCTGCCTCAGTTTGCCGTCTACGAGCCTCTCATTTAGCAACTCGATTGTCAATTTATATTGCGCAAGGAGAGAGTGGTCAACATCGTGCGATCTGCATGGGTGTTACATCATCGCACTGGCCGGTAATTGACGAATGCACGACACGTGCACGTTTTTTCTCTGCGACACTCGCACTATTTGTGGCCCTAAATCGTACTTAGATTGCCATTTGAAGATTTCCCCAGCGGCCATTCTCCATTTGGGACTGAACAAGACCTACCAACAATTCTGTTGCGCGACATCTTTCCTCGTTGTCTGTGGTGCTTCTGTCAGCCGCGCGAGTCTCTGCCTCGCAGCAGCGATAGCCACGATATGGCCGGGAAACTGCGTGTGGCTGTCATTGGCTCACAGACGCGCCACCCCGACACGCCGCTGGCCTACACGGTGTACCGCACGTCCGTGAACTACCAGGGTCTGTGCTATCAACGGCTTATTCGTTACCGGCAATTTCGATATTTCGCAAAGCACCTGAAGTTGGGCCAAAACTCTGCACGTATTACCGCGAAGTTTCCGCCCAAGATCTGGTGGAGTCGCAAAGGCTCGCTACGACCCGAGACAGTGGAAGTTCGACAAGTGTTGGTACGAATATGTTGTCTTGAGCTCGCAGTAGTGTCTGCACTCGTCTAACCTTCGCTTATGTGTGCATCGCGTTCGACAGTTGAATGAGTTCATGCAGCAAGTGTGTACTCGTTCATTGACGGCTCATAGTAAGGAGCGACTTTTAAAGATGCTGCAAGTGGACAAGTATGCTCCACAAGACGAGAAAGGCCGCGTGATCGATAGCCGATTGGGCTCAGAGCAGCAGAGTGTCACTGTGAGAGAACACACGTCCGACGAGCAAGATCACAATCACTTTTACTGTGTAAGAAACGACGAGATGTCAATCAAAGACGAGGAAGAGCGATCAGAGTCTTCGTGCAGCGAGAAGAACGAGTCTCGCACAGCGATGCAAGTGCGGAGCGATACAGACGAGTGTACGGAGCAAATTCTCTTCCCTCCGAATTCTACCTCGTCTGTCGATTCGGGAATGCAACAGAATCGCTTTGTGCCGACATCCCTGCCACCAAAGTCGCCGAACGCAAAGTGCGTGATGTTCAGGGCGAGTGGCGAGGCCGGAGGTCCAAGTACATCAAAGGAAGGAGACGGTAACTCGATTAGCAGCTCATCCGACTCTTTGTCCTCTCCTGAACGCTACTATCTGGATCGAATCAAGCAGCATATGGCCAGCATTGAGAACATTGTGGACCGTGACTGCAGTGTCGACCTTCGAGGTATGAGTACGGGCAAATTAAGCCGACGGGAGTAAGAGCAACAGACTAGTTTTGTGGAGGGCCATGCGTACGCAAAGTTGGGAACAGACACACGTGGCAACACTGTCACTTGTGCAAGGTCCCGATATCTAGTACGATAATACATCCTGCGCATCCGTGCCTTTTGGATTCTGCCACATCCTGAGCAAGCGCAACCATAATTGGAGGTCATTCGCAAGAACAGAGCGTCTTTTCACGAAGCGACATCGACGGAGCAACAGTTTAATGAAGGAGCAAATAACTTTGTACTATTGATAACATATCGCACTATATCGTTGGTTTGTGCTGAATAAACGAAAGTCTTCTCTGCGGCTGGTACTCGGAAAATGCTGAAAGTTACTGTAAAGAACACTCCAAACTACGCCTATCGATCATACGTTAAAAGGCGCAGAAAGGACATAGAAGTGCAGTTGCTACATATGTATCGTACTGAACGAAATGAAAAATCGCATTTGCGTTCATTAGAATTGCTAGGTAACATTATCATCGACAACGGATAAGGCTGCGTAGCGTAATGGGTTGGATGCCGGGTAGATACGCCGAGTCCCACCGACAAGACAAACGTATGACCCGCTTCATTAGCCCATACAAAACGCGTCTACTCTAAGAGATGGCAGAAGTGTCGTCGTGGTATGTGATCATTTTGGTCTTTATCATGGCACCTGTATCAGACGATACGTTATCGTCAATTTACGGAACTGAACTTACGGAAATCAGGTGACCGTTACTAAGCTCACCCATCCCACCTATTGTACCATATTCAAAGACTTAATTAAGCGAACTCTGTCTGGCCTTATTTCGGGTAAAGTTCAATGTAAGTTGACCATAGCACAAAAATTGAGGAGACGTGGTTTCGGGCTATCTGCGATAAATATAACAACGCGTATTGGACGCTTAATCGGTGGCGCCCATCATATGCAATTGCAATTTCTGTTCACGTCAAGGAGCATATTATATTATGTTCACGGTTCCTATTTTCGAACAGATCACGACGCTATGTTAAATGGCTGGCATGAGCCATTGTACACATGACCATCTTTACTATAAAGAGCGCGCGTAATGATCGGTGCATTATGAGCAGTGGGTATGAAGCACTCCCTGGTAATAATGACAAGGTGGCAAATACTCACTTTTACATGGTGAAATTCAATCAACCTACCTTTCACGCACGCTCGTTACGATGCAAAGGAAGCATTAAAACCTAGATGGGGGCATCTAAGTTGAACGGAAGGGAAACGATGTATTTTATGGGTGTAACCCTCAATCTAAACCATTTTATTTTATAATGTTACCCTAACAATCTCCATTTACCACTGTCGATGACATTTTCCTTTCCTCATTGCACCTGTATCGCTTTGAATGTGTAATCGCTAGCTGGGGTCATGGTCCGTGCCAGAATGTTGAACGAGTGGCGCCAATTGCTGCTACGTATCCTTCTCCAGGTAAAAAAAATTTAAGTAGCGAAGAATATGCACCGGACAATAAAAACTAGAAAAGACTTCTTTGCAAACTGAATACAATAAAATCCCACAACTCTATTTTGACACATAAAATATCATTTTTATATTCTACAAATAAATAATTGCGAAAATGATAATAAGCGCCACTGATGGATACTAAACCCTCGCCTATGCACATTTGTGTAATTATATATATTGCAATATATCCACCAATTTGTTGTTATTTTCTCTGATTTGAATAGCTACAAAGCCTCGCGGCTAGTCGTTGACAATCATTTTGCGAGAGGAGTCGAAGGCGTTGCCGATACAAGCGTCAACTATAAGTGTTGTCTATCGTTCGATTGTACGGCAATGTTACCTCTTTCTCTGTCATTCAAATTTTACGGTCCGACTCTGCATACCGTGCATTGTCGTCATGAAGGTGACATCCTCGACACGGAAAGGCACCGCAGAATCACTATGTCGCTTACAATGATGGTGTACAACGTACCAAACAAGGCAAAAGCGTCATCACATCGTGGTTGGTAGGAGAACGTTATTAGCATAGTGAGCGTATAGCCAGTATAGCAGGTGAATCTGCACGCCTTTTTTGTATCCATTCGTTCTCCTCGACTATAATGATACTTCGTCGACTTGAAGCGTGATCTATTGCTTGTGTTGACAGCTTATCCCAAATTAGCAAGAAATTTGGCTTACGGTCGTAGATAGGGTGTTAGAGACCTGGAAATATCCTATACATCAGCCACCTGTATTCAATTTTCCTCCCCGGGATTCTACCTACTTAGAAAAAAAAGCAGCTCGCACAGTTTTGATCCGAGGCACGGGGATGACCTTATCCTGAATGTCATCGAGCCTATTGTTCGTAGTCACATAGATCGCCTGAATGTAACATCTACAGTATTATAATCCGATACATCGTAGCTCCATCCAAATTCTTGGCCACACAAGTGCTTCTTTTTTCACTTGTATGATAGCAACTTATGTATACATCAGTATTAATGCGCATTGAGAGCTTAACTACCATTCTAGCTAACTGGTCAGCTTTTCCGTTCCATATAGCTATTTGACACCACAAGATGCAACAACGTGTTCTTCCGCAACAGCCGAAGTCTCCACTTCCCTTTGTTTCTTGCAATACCAACCAGCCACCATATTATTTGCACAAACAGTCCCATCGCTGACAAAATTTATGCTTGTTTGTCTCCAGAAAATTTAGCATTGCTAACAGTAAATACGTAGAGAAAGACTGGGATAACCGTCTCATTTGATTGCTACTTTACTTGGAACGTGCCGACCAAGTATCGGGTGATTCAATCAGCCGATAGTGGGTTTGCGGAAACTTCGGGATGCCTGTTCACAGCAAAAGAGATCTCCGGTACCATGTTGCGAGCAAGAAACAGATATCTACTTAGTAGCAACTGAATACATGAGTGATTGTGAGAATAGGTGTTCCAGTCCATTTGATGTCAGCAGCACACCTCCTCAAGGTTGGTCTTCACAACAAGATCTTTCTTTCGCATCGATCATCGCACTGCATTAGTCTTGACGAGTTTTTGCTTGTCAAGTCACTCTAGAATAGTATATACTATATGAAGCTGGTATCCATGAATTTCGTCGAAGTGACAAGGCGTCCCCAGAAACATACCTGCACGACCAAAATATTTGATCGCGAGACATGCCAAGTGTGCGGATCAAACATCGACACTCTTGCTGGTCGACCTTGCGACCAATACATTGACAGCGTAAGTTTCAACCATCATTTCTGCGTCCATGTCATTTTTTTCATTTAGACAGGTATCGACAGGTATTGCTGTAAACATTATCTTAAATCATCAATGACACGCATACCGTAATCATACCTCACCTCCGAGGTTTAATGCATCATATACGGAATACAAAGATGTGTGCTAACTCCATATTCATCAGCTGCGCGTACGAACGCCCTATGAATGTTAGCTTGCCTTATAGGAACACACAACATTCATGCAATCGTAGAATTGGCTTTTGCTTTTATCACATATAATACCGCTACCAAGTTTGACAGATTGTTACCACTAAGCACCTATTCTTTTCCACACGCTTCCAGACTTACTTTGTGTATCTCATAACTGCTTCATAACTCGTCCTTTTCGTTTTTTGTGCACTGATTGCTACGCAATCTGGGAAAGTTGGGTCCGCTTTGACCTCACATTACGCGTAATTCTCATGCAGCACATTCTAACCCTTCAGGCTTGTTCATATTCATCTTTTATTATCTGTACTTCTCGTAGCCCTCCATTGTCCCTAGGATCTGAATTATACGCAAACTAAAAAGAAAAACACTTGTGAAACGGCAGCAAGTACAGCATTATTGACAAATAAGGAAGCGACGATATTTCGATCGGAATATATATATAGCGACTGCATAACATAGCGCTCTCGATGGCTCAAACACATTCAAATAATCATGATCACTTTAGCATTTCGAATCGACTATTTTTGTTGCTTTACAGGAAAATTGATGTTGTTCGTATATATACACACCCCAAAGTATTGAGGTAGACAAAAAAAATGTCCTCTATCTCCACAGCTTGCACCTGAAAATATATCTCAATTTAATCCGAATCAATTGCGTCAGCTTTGCGCGCGTATGCGCAAGCTCTTCCTAGTCTTTTTCCTCCATTCTGCATATGATCTCTCAATTTCCCGTTTTCTTCGTTTGGAAACATCGCAATTTTACGAACACGCCGTGTTGTAATTACAACACGGTCACCCAAAAGCTGAATTGAAAAAATACTTTTCATCACCGACTCAAAGACAACAATTTCTACGTGATTTGTCGGATGTCGGGCCAGCATTCCTATCACAACTAATACCTTGGGATTGTATGTGCCGGTATTGGATAAAAAAGTAGGCGATACTTTTTGCTCAATCGACCCAAAATGAATAAGACGAATTACTAGGTCGAATATGCAGCGAATGATGCTCATCATCGCTAAATGCATATGCTCAGCCTTTTCATTTCCAGTCTGGTCATTAGCATTTTCACATTCAGCCTGGTCTTCATCTTCCGTCGTTTCACTAACAAATTTATATTCACGACAATATAAACAATTGTTTTGAATACCGCCACCGTGAGTCATAAGCACATACCCGCGGCAATTGTATCATTTCTCAAAATGCTAAATGATGTTCAAACTTTTTCGCTACATAGAATTTGTCTTGGCAAAAACGTAACGGCTATAAAGGGTCCGTGGTCGACAACAGTGACCAGGTACCCGTTGCTTCTGCCGTCTTGCGGCGGAAGTAGAACCTTCAATTTATCGCAAAGCGCTTCTTGGCAATGTGTGTGAGTGCACTCTCATCTGTGTCTTGTTTGCAAAAAAACGCACAAGTTTCTCCCATGTTCAAGTCAAACAACGCGGTGTACGTGGTCGATTGATTGATTAATTTGTCATACTCTCGACCCTAAGATTTTGTCATTTACTAAATGACCTAATCACCCATGAAGATTCATACGCATACATTTGTACTCAGCATGATAAGGATGCGTTGTA